ACACACACACACACACACACACACACACACACAAAGAAAGGGTTTGGGATGTAGCTCAATGGTAGAACACCTGGGATGTAGCTCAATGGTAGAACACCGCGGGTTCATTCCCAGTACAAGAAGAACAAGGGGAAGAAGAAAGAGGTGGAGTAAGGGAGGGCCTTGGCCACATTGCCTCACTCCCACCCACAAAGGCTTTCCCTCCAGCCATTATACTGGGCCCTAGGGGTACATCTTCAAGCCATAGTTACATAAAAGCTCTCCATCACTCACATGACATTAAGTGCTGACTCTGGGCCAGGACACAAAGTGACAAAAACTGCTCTAGGGGAGCTCGCAGCCTAGGAAAGGTCAACCTGAGACCTGTCTGCCAGGCTCAGGATCTTTCCTAGACCTGCCCTTGATATAGACCAATAGGCAAGAACCCTCGAAATAAATGCTTACTTAATTTCACTTAAAAAAAAAATCCACAGATTAATGTGCCTGTTTTCTGCGGTGAGAAGCAGAATCTATGTGACTCTCATGCCAGGCAGTGCAGGGGTGCATCCACTCCCCCACTCTTGGTGGCCTCTGCCTGGAGGCCCTCAGACCCTCAGAACTTTCTCCCAGGTCTGAGTGTCCTTGGAAATAACCAGGAAAGCAATGTTAAAAAAATAACCCCGTCTTCCCTGTGTGTCTCCAGCAGAGCCTGCTGCAGACAGTGGATGTCTTTTGAGATAATTAAATCTATTCCTCTTCTTTTACAGGTGAGACTCAGAGAGCGAGAAACTTGAATGACAGTCACCTCCTCAGACAGGGCTCCTCTTCTTCTTCCATCCACCCTCCTCCCCACCCAGCTGCCTGACTTCCCAGATCCTAACTCCAGGTCCATTTTCTCTCCTCTGCACCTGGCTGCCTCGAGCAAACCCCATCAGACACACCTAGAAGGAAAAAGCACTCAGGCCCAATTGAATAGCAAGATGCCCTACGGCCAGGGGCAGGGGATAGATGATCCCTCATCCTCTCAGCAATTGGAAGAAAAAAGGATACAGAAAATCCTGGACAACGTTTGAATGACGAAGCATAGGACATGACAGTTTATACAGATGAGTCCTATTTTAATTAAAATACACACACAGATCCAGATGGTTCCCAATTTACGATGGTTCGACTTACATGTTTTTTTTAAAGATTTATCTATTTTTAAGTTTTTTAGGTGGACACAATATCTTTATTTTACATTTATGTGGTGCTGAGAATCGAACCCAGTGCCTCGAGCATGCTAGGCGAGCACTCTACCACTGAGCCACAACCCCAGCCCCAACTTACATGTTTTTGAAGTTATGACAATGTGAAAACATACCCAGACAACCATTTTGCTTCTTACTTTCAGTATAGTATACAATAAATGACAGGAGATTTGGGGCTAGGGATG